AAGGAAGGAAGGAAGGAAGGAAGGAAGGAAGGAAGGAAGGAAGGAAGGAAAACAGAATAACAGACTCAGAAGGGACCTTGGAGGTCATCTGGTCCAACCCTCTGCTCAGGCAGGAAACCCTATAGTACCATTTCAGACAAATGGCCGTACAGTCTCTTCTTAAAAACTTCCAGTGTTGGAGCCTTCACCGCTTCTTGGATGAGAAGTAAAAAGGTCTTCAAAGAAAAACAAGGAGGTCCAGTTGCCTCGTGAAATAGCACCTTAGGGATTCTCAGACTTCAGAATATCTACAGCAGGGCTTTTCAACCTTTTCACCCACTGTACCACTTTTAGGATATGGCAACGTCCGAGGACCACCAGTCGCCTAGCAAGGTGTCAAAAACTTGATGACCAAAAAAAAAAAAAAAGGGGGAAAAGTGATAAAGTACAGGTAGTCCTTGACTTACAACAGTTCGCTTAGTGACTGTTCGAAGTTACAATGGCACTGAAAAAAGTGCCCCCCAAGCCACAGCCGAGCAAGACACCTGCCTGCCCACCCGGCTGCGCTCTTCCTCCTGTCCGAGGTTTTCATTGTTGTGAGGATTTCTGTTGAGGATTGGCAGCGGGGGTGGGGGTGAGTGTGTGGTTTTTATTCCCCCCATCTGCTGGGTGGTTGCAGCAGGTTTTGGTCACTTCACATGACCCTGGGACACGGTGACCGTCATAAATATGAATCAGTTGCCAAGCATCTGAATGTAAATCACAAGACCCTGGAGAGGCTGCAACATTCCAGCTGATCGGCGCTTCTTCTGGGCTCAGCAGAAGCGTCAGGATCAGCGCTGAGCTCCAGCTGGAACCTGGCACTGATCCTGGTGCTTCCACTGAGCCCTGACAGTCCCGAAGCGCCGATCAGTTGGAAAGCGGCACTGATCCTGGCGCTTCCGCTGAGCCCTGACAGCCCTGCAGCTCCAGCCGTCTCTCGCTCAGGCTTGTGCGGTGCTGCCACCGGTTCAGCTCATTCCCCTCCCCTGCTACCACTTTTCTAGGATGGTCGCGTACCACCTGCCAGGTGCCAATGTACCACAGGGGGTCCCCGTACCACTGGTTGAAAAGCCCTGCTCTATAGCTTAGCTAGAATTATTGGGTTCTTGGTATTCTCCAAACTTGGTTGTTTTCTTGCAGGCGTCTCATTGCCGTACCAGTAACATCCATCAGCGTGTGGGAAAGTCTATGAAACCGAGGTCCATGCCCCTGTGGCCTGATGTCTTCTCCTCTACTCCTTTTGCAGGGAATCCCTGCTGGTGATCCAGTACAACATCCGGGCTTTCATGGTGGTGAAGAACTGGCCCTGGATGAAGTTGTACTTCAAGATCAAACCACTCTTGAAGAGCGCAGAGACGGAGAAAGAGTTGGTGGCCATGAAGGATGAGCTGGCCAAGTTGAGAGAGGCCTTGGAGAAGTCGGAAGCCCGTCGGAAGGAGCTGGAGGAGAAGATGGTCTCCTTACTGCAGGAGAAGAATGACCTACAGTTGCAAGTTCAGGCAGTAAGTCATGGACGGTCCTCCTCGTGTCTAGGTTGGTCATGTTAAGTCAAGAACCATGTTGTCTCCATCTTAAAATCAAAGCCCTAAGGTAGTGTTTCTCAACTTTAGCCACTTCAAGGTGGGTGGACTTCAACTCCCAGGATTTTCCAGCCAGCATAGAATTCTGGGAGTTGAAGTCCGCTCGTCTTAAAAGTTGCCAAGGTTGAGAAATTCCATACCAAGGTGTGGTCTTCATCTCTCTTTCTTCCCTCTTTAGGAGCAAGACAACCTGAACGATGCCGAGGAGCGCTGTGACCAACTGATCAAGAACAAGATCCAGCTGGAAGCCAAAGTGAAAGAGATAACCGAGCGGCTTGAAGACGAAGAGGAGATGAACGCCGAACTGACCGCCAAGAAGCGGAAGCTGGAAGACGAATGTACTGAGCTCAAGAAGGACATCGATGACCTGGAGTTGACTTTGGCTAAGGTGGAGAAGGAGAAACACGCCACGGAGAACAAGGTAAGGAGGGGTTTGACGTGGCATGGAATCCAAAATCTGTCAGGTAGCCAAGGAGATATCAGAACTATTGGTTGGGGGGGGTCATCATTCATGGAAACGTTGATCTTGGGGGAGACGCACTTTCCTTGGGGGGGGAGGAGGAGGAGAACGAGGAGGAAGAGGGAGGAGAGGATGAGGAGGAATATGGGGTCCTTGATGCTCTCTGAGACTCACCGGAGAAGAGCCTGATGCTGGGAAAGATGGAGGGCAAGAGAAGAAGGGGACGACAGAGAATGAAGATGGCTGGAGGGAGTCCCTGAAGCAGTCGGCGTGAGCTTCAATGGACTCCAGAAGATGGTAGAGGACAGGAAGGCCTGGAGGAACGTTGTCCATGGGGTCGCGACGGGTTGGACACGACTTCGCAACTAACAACAACAACAACAAAAGTTTGGTTGTTTTCCCACAGACATTTCATGACCAAATTAGAGAACATCGTCAACGGTAGAAGGGAGCAGGCCTGCTCTGTTTATAAGAGAGCAAACCCACCTTCCTTCTAACACTGATAATATTACCTAGTTGGGTCATGAAATGTCTGTGGGAAAACAACCAAGCTTTTGTTGTTGTTGTTAGTTGCGAAGTCGTGTCCGACCCGTCGCGACCCCATGGACCATGTTCCTCCAGGCCTTCCTGTCCTCTACCATCTTCTGGAGTCCATTGAAGCTCACGCCTCCTGCTTCAGGGACTCCATCCAGCCCCCTCATTCTCTGTCGTCCCCTTCTTCTCTTGCCCTCCATCTTTCCCAGCCTCAGGCTCTTCTCCAGGGAGTCCTTCCTTCTCATTAGGTGGCCAAAGTACTTGAGTTTCAACCTCAGGATCTGGCCTTCTAAAGAGCAGTCGGGGTTGATCTCCTCCAGGACTGACCGGTTTGATCGCCTTGCAGTCCAGGAGATTTGCAGGAGTCTTCTCCAGCACCAGAGTTCAAAGGCCTCCATTCTTTGGTGCTCAGCCTTTCTTATGGTCCAACTTTCACAGACATGCATTGCAACTGGGAAAACCATGGGCCTTGACAATACGTACTTTTGTTGGCAGGGTGACGTCTCTGCTTTTTAGTATGCTGTCTAGATTTGCCAAGCTTAGAGCGCACCAAAGGTCCCACAATCAGGAATATCTACAAGTGTGCACTCTCTCTCTCTCTCTCTCTCTCTCACACACACACACACACAAATAGCTACCTTACATCACATTTGGCCATTAGTTCCCTGATACGGTATTATTTATTCCAGCTGATGACAAAAGAGGTGCCTTGTGATCTGCCACTTAGACACTCACCAACTTTAATGCCTTGGCTTTAAGCAACACCATACCAAGGTTTCCTTGTTCCATCAAGAGCTTCAGATTGTGAGAGAAACAAGCAACCGAGGTGAAACCTCCAATGTTAGATGTGACTTGGATAATGACTAAGTCGCCAGGTCTTCAGGTATCCACCAAGGTTGAATTTTGATAGCTCCAGGCAGCTGATATGGTATGTTATGCTATGACCACAGGTGAAGAACCTCACAGAAGAAATGGCTGGTCTAGATGAGATCATCATCAAGCTCACCAAAGAGAAGAAAGCTCTCCAAGAGGCCCACCAGCAAGCTTTGGATGACCTTCAAGCTGAAGAAGACAAGGTCAACACATTGACCAAAGCCAAGGTCAAACTGGAACAACAGGTGGATGACGTAAGTATACCGACTTTGAGGTGCCCAAAATGGTGTGCAGTCCGTATTTCTCCAGAGAAAATATCCCGGAAAGAAGACGCTAGAACAAAGAACATGGAACCACGGGGCTGGAAGGGACCTCAAAGGTCTTCTAGTCCAGCCCTCCTGTTCCTGTAGATTGGACCTAGCTAATTTGGTTTTTGTTGGCCTGACAGCTGGAAGGCTCCTTGGAACAGGAGAAGAAGATCCGTATGGACCTTGAACGGGCCAAGAGGAAGCTGGAAGGAGATTTGAAGCTGACCCAAGAAAGCATCATGGATTTGGAGAACGACAAGCAGCAACTCGACGAAAAGCTGAAAAAGTAGGTGTCTCTTTTGATACGTAGTTATGGAGGGTGCCAGCTGTTTTCCATCTCTTTACCGCTGGATCCAACCTCCTTCTCCTTCCCGATTCTCAGGAAAGATTTTGAGTTGAACGCCTTGAATGCTAGAATTGAAGATGAGCAATCCTTGGCTGCCCAGTTACAGAAGAAACTCAAAGAGTTACAGGTACAAAGTCCAAGTCTACATTGATGTGGTTTCTCTAAAAAAAAACAACCCAAAAAACCAAATCTAGATCAAAACTCGAAAACCGCGTTTTTGGATAAGATCTGGAATGTCCAACATGGTGTCCACAAGTAGCAAGGTTCTCATTGGTACCACTCTTTGTTTCCATTAATCCATAGCCATAATCCAAAAATCGTAATGTTTTCATTGGCTGAAGTAGTTGAGAACCTCTAATCCAGGACTTTTCAACCTTTTCACCCATTGTACCACTTTTAGGATATGGCAACATCTGAGTACCACCAGTCGCCTAGCAAGGTGTCAAAAACTTGATGACCCCCCCCCCAAAAAGAAAAAGAAGTGATGACGTACAGGTAGTCCTCGACTTACAACAGGTCACTTAGTGACTGTTCGAAGATACAATGGCACTGAAAGACGTGCCCCCCAAGCCACAGCCGAGCAAAACACCTGCCTGCCCACCCGGCGGCGCTCTTCCTCCTGTCCGAGGTTTTCATTGTTGTGAGGATTTCTGTTGAGGATTGGCAGTGGGGGTGGGGTGGGGGGTGTTTGGTTTTTATTCCCCCAGTCTGCTGGGTGGTTGCAGCAGGTTTTGGTCACTTCACATGACCCTGGGACACTGTGACCGTCATAAATATGAATCAGTTGCCAAGCATCTGAATGTAAATCACAAGACCCTGGAGATGCTGCAACATTCCAGCTGATCGGCGCTTCTGGGCTCAGCAGAAATGCCATGATCAGTGCTGCTTTCCAGCTGATCGGCGCTTCTTCTGGGCTCAGCAGAAGCACCAGGATCAGCGCCGAGCTCCAGCTGAGCCCTGACAGTCCCCGAAGAAGCACTGATCCTGACGCTTCCGCTGAGCCCTGACAGCCCTGCAGCTCCAGCTCATTCCCCTCCCCCGCTACCACTTTTCTAGGATGGTCGCGTACCACCTGCCAGGTGCCAATGTACCACAGGTGGTACCCGTACCACTGGTTGAAAAGCCCTGCTCTAATCAAATTGGGTTCTACCTGTCAACTGTCCAGTTGGCATTTCCAGAAAAAGAAACTCCTGGGACGTGATTTTACCAAGCGTATAATACTTTACTGAAATTTTACATTGGCACAGAAGAAGGCAAAACCAGCTCTGGTTTCCCCATGCAAAAGTGTACTTAATCTATATAAATAAAAATGTAAATGTTCGTTTGTTCAAAATTTTAAATCTCCGAAAGTTCTTCACCGATTGCTTTGACATTTTGACACAACGTTGCATTTGAATACGCACGTGTTTTTATATACCTATATTATATAGATGTCACACCTGTGACAGGTAAAAACATGCTTTTTTTGTGAAAAACAGCGCCATCTGTTGGACGTAAAAGCAACACACGCTTTTACCAGACTGAGCCACAGCAACGCGTGGCTGGGTACAGCTAGTTAAACAATAGATTCTCTCTCCCTCACTCATCGGGTGTTCACATTGTAACATTGTTATGGAAACTCTCCACTTCTCCTTGAGGAGCAGTGTTTGTGGTCTTGACTCTTGGTTGCCTAGACATCATGCCTCCCACCTTTGCATTAATTCAGATTAAGTCAGATAAAGTCCACTTTTCTACACGGCAGGCGCGGATCGAGGAACTGGAGGAAGAACTGGAAGCAGAGCGCACAGCCCGGGCCAAGGTGGAAAAACAGCGCGCTGAACTTTCGCGGGAACTGGAGGAGATCAGCGAACGTCTGGAGGAGGCCGGAGGGGCCACCTCGGTGCAGATCGAGATGAACAAGAAACGGGAGGCCGAGTTCCAGAAGATGCGACGTGACCTGGAAGAGTCCACGCTGCAGCACGAGGCCACGGCGGCCACCTTGCGCAAGAAGCACGCGGATTCCGTGGCCGAGCTGGGCGAGCAGATCGACAACCTGCAGCGGGTGAAGCAGAAGCTAGAGAAGGAGAAGAGCGAGCTGAAACTGGAAGTGGACGACATGGCGTCCAACATGGAGCAGCTCATAAAAGCCAAGGTCCTATGTTAATGAAGAGGTGGTGGGACTCCATTGGAGGGTGGGTGGAGGGAATCCAGATTTGCGGACAAGGTTGGGCCTTGGAGATGAATCCGGAGACACGGTAACAATTAATTTGGACAGAGGGAAGGACCCAAAAGATAAGGAGAACATGAATTGTTCCTACATCTGGACAGAATCTGCTTCTCAATGTTTTGGTTCTTAAAGATTTGAATTTTACTCATCCTTCGTTCTATTATACAATTATAACTTCCATCATCCTCAGCCAGCACTACCATGTTTGCCAGGATGATAGGAGTTGTTGTTCAATATATGTCAAGACAAAATGACTTGTTTCTCCATCCATCCATCCATCCATCCATCCTTCATCCATTCATTCATTCAATCCGTTCATCCAACCAACCAACCATTCATCCACCCTTTCCTCCATCCATCTTTCCATCCTTCTGTCCATCCATCCATTCATTCCTTCATCCATACTACCTCCCTTTCTTCCTTCTACCCATTCACCCACCCACCCAACCCTTCCTTCCATCCTTCCATCCATCCATCCATCCATCCATCCATCCTTCATTCATTCATTCATTCATTCATTCATTCATTCATTCATTCATTCAATCCATTCATCCAACCAACCAACCATTCATCCACCCTTCCTTCCATCCTTTCCTCCATCCATCTTTCCATCCTTCTGTCCATCCATCCATCCATTCCTTCATCCATACTACCTCCCTTTCTGCCTTCTACCTATTCACCCACCCACCCAACCCTTCCTTCCTTCCATCCATTCATCCATCCTTCCCTTATTTAAATCTATTTCTCTATTTTTTTTTCACCATTTCTTCTCCTTCTGGAAATCTAGGCCAACCTGGAGAAGATGTGTAGGACTTTTGAAGACCAAATGAATGAGCACCGGGCCAAGTCCGAAGAGACTCAGCGTATGGTCCATGACCTCACCACACAGCGAGCCAAGCTCCAGACCGAGAATGGTAAGCCACAGGAGAACTTTACACTTTTATCCTTAAGAACTTCGATTATTCTCTTGGTCTTCTTTTTTCCAATATTGTCTGCTTTGACCATCAACTCGTCCCAATCTTTCTTGGAGATACTAAACCTGCAGAATAACTTACCTGAGTACAGATGGTTCTCAACTTACTACCAGTTGTTCAGCAACTATTCAAAGCTCTGACGTACCTACCTGGGGGTTACCTACGACTTGGATTTGAAGTTCCAACGGTCAGCCCCCCCCATGTGGTCAGATGACCACATGGACACTCAACAACCATGTTGCATTTACATCTGTTTGCACCGTCCCGTGATGATGTGAACATGTTTTATGACGATTTTGTCAAAAATCAACATTTTTGACAAAACCAGGCCCATCCCAAACCATTGGTTCATTGAATGATTTTGGTATCTGCTTAATGACCATGGATTCATTCAATGACCATAGTGTTTTGCTGCAACAAACCATCATAAAGTCAAGTTAGAGAAGTGACCTACCTGTTTTACGACCGTTACGACTTTCCACCAGGATAGGCAGGCCCCATTATGGTCATACCCCGAGGTCTACTAGTATAGAGGGTACCTTGCTCAATAGTAGTAACTGTGAGATGCACCTCGGAGTCCTAGTGGACAATCACCTAAATATGAGTCAGCAGTGTGCTGCAGCTGCCAAAATGGCCAACACAGTGCTGGGCTGCATTAACAGAGGGATAGAATCGGGATCACATGAAGTATTTAATAGCACTTTACAAGGCCTTGGTAAGGCCACACTTGGAATACGGCATCCAGTTTTGGTCACCACAATGTAAAAAAGATGCTGAGACTCTAGAAAGAGTACAGATAAGAGCAACAAAGATGATTAGGGGACTGGAGGCTAAAGCATATAAGGAACAGTTGCTGGAATTGGGTATGTCTAGTTTAATGAAGAGAAGAATGAGGGGACATGATAGCAGTGTTCCAATATCTCAGGGGCTGCCACAAAGAAGAGGGAGTCAAGCTATTCTCCAAAGCACCCAAAGGCAGGACAAGAAGCAACGGATGGAAACTAATCAAGGAGAGAAGCAACCTGGAACTAAGGAGAAACTTCCTGACAGTTAGAACAATTAACCAGTGGAACAACCTGCCTCCAGAAGTGGTGAATGCTCCAACACTGGAAGTTTTTAAGAAGAGACTGGACAGCCATTTGTCCGAAATGGTATAGGGTTTCCTGCCTGAGCAGGGGGTTGGACTAGATGACCTCCAAGGTC